CCCCCGCCGCGCCTCCCCCGCCGGCCGGTGCCGGCCGGGGGCCCCCACGGTGGCCTGGCTGCCCCTGGGGAGCACCGCAGCCATCAGGAGCCAAACCCCACGGCTCCCTCTGCCCCCCACTGTGACTGTCCCCATGCACTGTCCCCACCTGGACCAGGCTATTTCCCACCCCGTACCCAGGGAATACGCCTTGTGGGGATTTCCCAGTAGGGCACAGCCCTGGGGTCCTCTACCCAAACCTGGACGCAGCCCCTCGCTCCCTGGGCTGGCTCGGGGACCCCAAGGGGGACTCGCAGCTGCCACAGGGATACCGACGCTGGGGAGCCACCTGCGCTCCAGCACAGCCCTCACCCAAGGCTGTGGCCGACGTGAAGGGGGAGCCACCACTCAATCACCGAGCAGATGCTCTGGTGACAGCGCTCTGAGCTTCTCCATCCCAGCAAGACCCTGCTCCACCCCAAGCCTGGCCCAGGCAGGTCTCCAATCCCAGGGGACAGCCAGCCACAGCACCACGAGCCCTGCCCAGGGACATACAGCCACTGGATGTTGTTCTTGGACTTCTTGGTGATGAGCTGGATGCCCTCCAGGACATTGGTGATGTCGTAGATGCGCCTCTTCTGCACCTTCAGGACCTCGGCCGCCCAGTTGAGGTCCACCACGCCATCAGGCGACTGGCTCAGCAGCTCCAGGAAGCGCTTGGTGGTGAGGTTCAGTGAGGTTTCATAGCGGGACTTCTCCCCAGGTGACTTTGCCCCTGCCAGCCGCCAAGGACAAGTGTGATTTAGCGACAAGGGAAACCCAGTGCTTGAGCTGAGAGGTCCCAAAACACCCCCCCACACACTTGCAGGTGGCTCGTGGACCAGGACCAGCACCCTGAAACCCATCTGCTTTCTCAGGGCAATGGGGTGAGCTCTTCACATACTCCACAGGAAGGATGGTGCAGGACCTGGCGTGGGCTCTAACACTGGTGCTCAGTCATGACTGTAACCTCGGTTGTGACGGCAAGGTGCCAGGCAGGGCTCAGGGGGAAGATGACAGAGGGTCCACCTGGGACACTGCACTGACACGGTGCCGGCAGCTACAGCTCCATCCCACAGGGAGGGACAGAGCCAGTGTGGTGTGCATCAGATGGGCAGGACAACTGTGCCACCAGAAACAGCCCGGCCCCAGGAACAGCCTCTCCAAACCGACGTAAAGGGATGGGGAAAAGCTGCCAGGGACGAGCCTGGAGGTGCAGCCCAGCCCATGGGCAGCGGAGCGGGGCTGCCACATCCCCTGCTCCAGGCTGGGGGGGGGCAGGGGGAGCAGAGCCGGTACCTTTAGTGGGGTTCCTGGCCTTGCCCCGGCCCACTGGCAGGCTCTCTGCTATGTACTGGTGATCCGTCTCCAAGTTCAGCTTCCTCTTCACCTGCGAGGGACGTGGCTCATCAGAGGGACGGCCAGCACTGCGGCCCCACTGCCCCCACAGCGCTGGTGATGGAAGGCAGCCGCGAGGGACCCCCAAGGGATCCCCCCTGGGGCACATCACCACAAGGTACGGAACCTCCCGCTGCCGGCAGCAC